TTCCACTTTTGACCTTTTTGACAAGTAAATTGACTGGTTCATTTTGGGGAATTTTTCCTGCAGATGGCACAACATTGGCAACATGGTGGTGTAGTAGACGGTGGTTTAAGTGTGATTGCGGTGGGACCTAGTCAGTATGGCCTCCAGTTGTCCTCACTGAAGCCACAATCACAATGGTCAGCTGCCTGCCTCAGGGAATCTGAATCCCTCATCACAATGTGTCCTGTGTAGTGGATGCAGTGTCATTCTTCTTTCTGAGTCTTTATTTTCTCACTGGTCTTCTTTGAACCTGTTTTAGTCACTGTCTTGCAGGGCAGAGTCCCTTCCTGGTAGGGTTGGAGAATTACTCTTTGGTATATAAGTATAAGGTGCTAAAAAGCTGATGGAAAAGTGTGTGGAAGGCAGGCTGTGCCAGTTTTGGGGGGTGGTGACTTATAGACACCTGTTTTCTCTTGGTGAGTTTCCCCAGAGAGGAATCCTCCATGTCTTCCTGGCTTGTTCTACCATGTGGCTGCACAGTTTGAAAAGCTGAGTGAGGCTGGGGGATGTGAGCCTCCTTGCCTCGCCCTTCTGTACATGGAGGTTTTCTTAATCCTAGTTTTTCAGTTTAGCTCTTGAATCTTCATGGTCTTAGAATTCAGCCTTTCCAGAGAATAATCTCAGTCTCCAGGATGAGAGAGGGAATAATTCTGGCTTGGAAGAGATTCTGGGGGTTTTCCTTTAAATAGGTTCTAGCTCATCCTGCCGTCTGGCCCTCCCTGCTCAGTAGCCTGGTGACCTGGATCCACCCTCATCTCACACGCAGCTCCCTGGTTCCTGGCAGCCCGTTTCCCACTTTGAGGAGTCCGATGTTTGCCTGTGGTCCTTCCCTTTCCCATCAGTCTCTTTAATCCCTTTACTGCAGTTTTAATAGTGTTTCAGAAGGGAGCAGAGGCAAATGAGCGTTCATCTGCTCTGTTTAATATAAAGTGCACACAGATTCTCTAATGAGGAATGGGGGGAATAAAACCTCTATGGTTATAAATTTATCTTGTTTTACAGCATTTGAGGTTCAACTGTTCGTGAAAAGCAATTTCAATAAAAGGGTCATGTTGGAAAGCACTTGTTTATATAATTCACTTCATAATATTTCAACTTGTAGTAAAAGTTATGGGAGGTTAGAGACAAGTAGGATGAGTAAAAATTTTGTTCTGTAGAGCTGAGGTTTGTGAACAACTGGATAATGCTTCCAGTGACCTGCTTTGAGTCTGTAGTGTAGTCTAGGCTGTCCTTGAACTTAGTGTGTAGCCCAGACTAGCCTTGATTTTTTGATCCTTCTGCCTCATCCTCCTGAGTGCTAGGGTTACAGGCATCCTGCATCATACTGGTTTCCCTGGCCTGTTTCCAGAATTGTATGCTTAATCTAGATTTTCTAGTATTATGAGTCCCAACCAGTGTTTTAGTGCATGGGCTTCAAAATAGTATAGACCATAGTTTGAATTCTTTTTTACTTCAATTTGAGCAAATTATTGAACTTGTTTGAACTTTGGTTTCTTGACAATGAAGGAAATTGTGCTTTTCTCCCAAAGTTATTAGGAATTAGTTAATTGATGTAAGTGCTTAGCCTTGTATGAGTGCAGAATATATATTTTATTTACTTTGGGGTATTCTAGATCACTTTTGGGTCTGGCATTATTGCTTGCTGTGCCTGGGAACCAAACAGGCCTGCTCTCTGTACTTGTGGATTTTCCCTTTAACTGTAGGAGACTCATTTTCTTATTTTGTTTCCTCTGGGCCATAATAAGAATTAATTAGGGGGTGATGAGGAGGGAAAGTAGTGTTTAAACTTATATCCTTCCAACTCCTGAGTCTGTTCTTAGCATCCTGACTCCTTGGTGTTGAGTATTTCTTAAGAGTTAGCACTTACTTCAGAGTGGGACCATTATAGACAATTAAATAGATGGGCATGGGAGCCTTCTGAAGGCTCTGGGTGACACTGGATTCCGTGTCCTTCTGACTTATGACAATGCTCAAAATAGCCCATGTCTTAACAAAATATCAACTATGATAGAATAATATGGAGGATGTAATGGGTAGATAGATTGGTGCCTAGAAATAGATCTCTTTAGGTTTGCCCTTATCGTACCATGACGAGTTAAAGGTAAGCAGCACCAGTATCTCTTGGGCACTGGGTATGGCTGCTGGTTGCAGGAGCTACAAATCATCAGAAGGTAATAATTCAAGGAGTTGACCTCTCTCTGTCCTTTAAACAGAGAGGGAAAAGGTGCTAGTGATCCATTTTACCTTAGGGAGTTGAGAAATCAAAAGGATATACATAGCTTCTCATAACATTGCTGTCTTGCTCAGGCCTTATTCCTAGTTCTTCTCTTCCATAGAAGATACTTGAGCCCTTCCTCATGTGTATTTATTTGGGATACATGTATATTTTAGATAAAATTTTGTTCCTGTTGTAGAGCCACTGTTCTCTTATTTAGACTCTGAGCGTATTTCCCTCCTACCCCTGTAACCATTCCATTAACCTTTTAAAAATTTTCCTTTTCAGACAGTGTTAAATAATGAAGACATCCATGTGATTAAATGTTACGTTAGTCATTTTAAAATTATGGTTTCTAAAGTTCAAAATAACATCTTTATTCGTAAAGTGGCCCCTTTGATAAATAGGGATGTTATTTTAAGATGCAGTACATTACTGCTGGCTGAGAATTGGATTATTTTTCTAGTAGTGTAGATACTTTTACAGTAAACCTTTAGATGGCAGCATCTCTCACCATAAACCATATTTTGAACAAAACCTCTTAGATATATAAAATATTGCTGAGAATCTTCTTGTATCACCCCTTCACTGTGTGAGGATGGAGGTGGGATCCCAGCGCAGGCAGAGCAGTGGCACAGGGCTGTGTAGGGGGTAGTCATAGACCCCTGCTTGGAGCTCTTTCTACCATCCCTTCTCTTACTGATGATGCAAAAATGTTTCTGTCTCTGTGGCCTTGTTCAAAATACCAGGCAACAACCATGGTGGAAATCAGTATAGAGATTCCTCAAAAAACTAAAAATAGAAATTCCAGTCAACCATCTGTACCCCCTTGTAGGGGTTAAACACATCATGTTATAGTGATATATGCATACCCATGTTTACAGCATAATAGGTATATCTTAGAAGAAGCCTGTATGTCCATCAACAGATGAATGGATAAAGAAAATGTGGTATTTATATACAGTGCAATACTGTGTCATAAAGAAGGTTAAACTTGAGTCATTTGGAGGAAAATGGATGTTCCTTGAGACCATAATGTTAAGTAAAATAAATCAGACATTCAAGCTTAAATATCACATGGTTTATCTTTTATGAGAAACCATAAATAAAGAGCAAAATAAAAATTAATAAATAGGGAGGTAGATCTTTTGTGAGAGGGAAGGAGAGATGAAAAGTTGGAGGGAGAGGAGGGAGGGGAAAGGGATGAAAAAGAATTAAGATGTGTTATGTACATGTACCCACTCTCCACAAGAAATGTCATCATTATGTACTGCACACATTAATAAAAAAAACAGCTGAAGAAAAATAATCTGCACACACACACAAAAGGCAATCATTGAAAAATGAATCCAGTGGGTGATTCTAGACCAAAATGGAATGATATTTGGAGTGAGCAGAGAGGCCAGATAGTCTGTTTCTTTAAAAAAACTGCTTAAGATATAATTCATATGCCATGCAATTCACCCACTTAGTGTATCGTGCAGGAGTTTTTAGGATGTTTACAAAGTTTACAAAGAATCACTGAAATCTAATTTTAGAACATTTTCTTACTCCCAAAAGAATTTCCTTAGTCATCACCCCACAATCCTACCTATCTTCAAGCCCTTGGCAACCACTCAGATCTTTCACATCTGTACGTTTGCCTATTTTGATGTTACGTGTTACTAGAACAATACAGTATGTGGTCTTTTGTGACTGACTGGCTTCTTTCAAGTTTCACTCATATTGTACTATGAATTCGTGTTTCATTCCCTTTTATTTCCCAATAATAATTCAGTATGTGGCTACACCACATTTGTTTCATCAGTTGATGGGACTTTGGCTATTGTAAGTAATACGATCATGAAGGTGTGTGTCCAAATACATATTTATATAGGCATACATTCACATGGAGGTGGAATTGCTAGGCCATGTGGTAACTGTGTGTCTAACCTTTCAATCAACTTACTGCTAATTTGTTTTCCAAAGTGGCTATACCATTGCCTATTCCCAGCAGCAAACGAGGTTTCATCCAGTCTTATTAAGAATTCCAGATTTTCTGATGACAAGTTGCAGTTGCGGGAGGGAGTAAGACTGTCTCTCTCGTGTCCTTGAGTCGCCTGCTGCATTGGCTGCCATGCTGCTTTGAAGGCAGCTATTTCAGCTGCCAAGAAAGCAGCAGTCATCCTCTAGGCCCCACAATTACCCTGGGTCACCAGCCCAATAAGATGCCAGTGTTCAGTGGCTGCTTAGAGCTTGTAGATATTACAGGCCAGTTGTTTTGTAATCCTTGCCTCCTGACTTTGGAAGTACGAAGCAACCAAATCATCTTTATCCCAGTTAGAGGAAAATGATATTTGAAGGAAAAAAAAAAAGCCTCTACCACACACTGCTCAGGTTTGAATACATCAAACTCACCTACTTGAAATGCAGTGAAGACAGTGGTAGAGACTTCCTAGCAGAAGAGCAGCTTTTGTTTTTGTCAGAGTTCATGTTCTCCAAACTGAGCTTACCCTTTTCTTGTTTGGCAGCCCAGAATGGACATTCCATGTCTGCCCTGAGGTTGACTCATGTGTGTGTGTGTGTGTGTGTGTGTGTGTGTGTGTGTGTGTGTGTGTGAGAGAGAGAGAGAGAGAGAGAGAGAGAGAGTAGGGGCTGACTCTTCCTTAGGCATATTTGGATCCTGGTACAGACACATACTGTACATTCTGAAGGTTTATTTGCATCTGGAAAAAAATTAGCCACACTCAGATCTTTCCCACTGCAGGTCCCATCAGGAAGCCCAAGTATGTGGAAAGCCCCAGGGTGCCTGGAGATGCAGTTATAATCCCGTTCAGAGAAGTGTCCAAGCCCACAGAGCCCAGTGAGAATGGTAAGAATATGTTTTCAGTGATTTCTCCTTCCTGCCCTAAAGATTGTACAAAATGGCACTCCGTATTTCTGAGTGAAACTTGAGTGCCCTTGCAGGAATACTTTGCTGAACTAAATGTATTTGAGAGGCTTTACCCTCTCCAGGCAGTTCACAGAACTTTGTTTAGCTTATGTAAATTCCTAGAATTACATACATAGAATAAGAACAGTTGAGTGAGTATATATATATTGTTTAAAGTTTGGGCCTTGCTTCCTTTGAATTCTGACCTATGTGGGCTTTGGGGGACATGGAAAATGTACTAAGAATCTGCAAGGTTATGTTCTGTTTTCAATATTTTAACAGTTCAGAATACTCAACAGGCATTGGCTTTTGAAACTTTAGACAAAGCTTGTAAGAGCTAGATTTCTTAAAAGCATTTGGTAACTTTTGGAAGATTTTTTTTTCTGTTTTCAAAATTAAAGTTTTTCTTTAGACAGTATTGAAGTACAAAAATTGATAGAAAAATTTTTGTTAAGACATTTTATATTTTATTTTGTTGGGTTTTTTTGGGGGTGTTTAAAGCTAAGTATAGCACACATTATGAACTTAATAATATTTAGTAGGTGCATTAATAGTTCTTTATTTTTAAAAATCAGTTCAAGAATTTACTTGTTTGTTCTTTTCTGGGGAGTGCCCAACACACAACTGTATGGCCTTAATTTGGGTGCTTTGAATTTACACACAGATTTCCTGCCTCAATACAACAATAAGAATCTTGGCCTATGCATAGAAGCTCATTTTGCCCTCACCTTGTTTTTAAAACAAAAAAAAAATTTAAATTGAGCCATGATTCCATTTTGGAATTCTAGGAACCCTCTTCTGTTTCAATGGTGATGGTGGGGAAACACCCCCTTTCTCTTGTAACTATAATGTATGCATTTTATATTTCTGGTGTTGTATAGCAGAAAGTAGGACATAGTAGGACAGTAGAGTGGTGGTTAAAATACGGCTAAAATTAACTTGAAAGGGGGGATTAGCAGAAATCAGGAAGAAGAGCACAAGCTGAGAGGGAGGGGAGCCAGCAAAAGCTGAAATCAGGGTGCTTGGAATGCATACAGAAGGAGGTAATATGGGGTATGCTGGGTAGGCAAGAGGTTCTAGTACTTGTGTCCTCACATGAGCAAGCCCACTTTATCCTTTCTGGCCAGGTACCCAGTTGTGTGATTGAAGAGACTCATGCCAGGGATTTTTGCTGAGGGAGCCACATGGCATTGGGTGTATATGTTAATGGTGGAGAGTTTATTGTGGTATCCAGTTAGGATAGCTGTTACCTGATACATGAGCTCTTGGCTGGTAATTCATGAGTATAAGTACCCTGTTCTTCATTTCTGTTCCGTATGTTGAAGTGAAATGAAAATCTGCCTCTCAGGTATCAGTTATTGAAGTGATGCTATCTGCCCATCTTAGATTAAGCTTGCTACCCCTCAACCTTATCCCTACCCCTCTAAAATCTTGGTCATCCTGTTTGATTATGCCCCTGGGGCTTTACTTGGCCTAGACACCACTGTGTCATTTCTTATGGTCGTAAGGATTGGATTGTTGGAGTTCCATATAAGGATATCTTGTTGTGAGAGGGGAAATATTTACAATTTTTATTGGTCTAAGAAAGGAGGTTATAAATAGTCCCCACTGTCACTTTTCTCACCTTGCCCAAGGCAGAATTGGCCACCTTTCTTGGCAAGAGGAAAAGTACTTGTGCTTGGCTATGGACCAAGCTAAATTCAAGTGCAGACATTGGTCTTGCTGGAGAGACCAAAATTTGCATATGTGCTCACTCCCAAGATCTGAGCTCTCTGATGAGGCTTCATCTGGCTCCGAGGGGAACAAAATTACAACTTACGGACTTTGAGAACAGGACCAGAAAATTCCATCTCTGCTAAAATTAAGAAGCAGGGTACTTTTCCATTTTTTAAAAGGTATAAGTCGGGGTGTTAGGGTCTGGGCACATGGTCCTGTAAGATGATAATTTATCATGTTGGTTCCCCTCCCAGCAGGGCTGCTCTTTGGTTGGGGGTGAGTGGTTGCCTAGCAGAATTGAACTCAACAATTAGCAAAGGGCGATGTGTTTTGTAATCTTCACGGAATCTTTTAAATTTCAATAGAATTAATTAAGACTGCCATATTAAAGTGTGCATTTTTATGTCCAGGTCATTGAACCTGAAGGAGAGGCTTGAGCTAACTAAAATTACTTGAGTTTGCGTACTGTTGAGGCATGTGTAGATGCATGATGGGCCAATTCTAATCTCTGAGGTTTGATGTTGGCATCATCACTTAAGTTTCACTTTAAAGTTCAGTCTTCTGCTTCCCCTACTTCCTTTGGGCGTTCTTACTAATCTCTATGAATACTTTTGGGTGCTGTCAATCATAACAGTGTCTTTTGAAAACAGCTCCTTGTGAAATGCCTTTGAAATTTCACGTAGACTCATGAAATATCAATATATACCTAAATGTTTAAATATTCTTTCCAGACCGCGAGGCCTCATTTTTAGTTTTGTGGCTCCATGAAGCTCCATCAATTCTTGAATTTTAGCTATTTTTTTAATATAATTTGTAAATAATTCTGTTGATGTGTAACTTTCCTTTTTTAGCCATCTGGGAAGTGGGTTCAAACTGATGAACTTTTTTTTTTGATAAGCAAATAAACTGTTTATTAAAGTTTGCTCTCACCCAGAAATATCTTTAGGAAAAAATTTTCTGCTATATTCAAAATTTGAAAATATTTTGAAACACAGCAGTTTTCTTCTCTGTTCCTTAATGAAGTCCTCAAACTCAATGCAAACCATAATAAGCTGTACGTCACATAGAATAGAGTCTTTATAAATAAGCTTTCAATTATTAAACCAATCTATTGTTTTGGGGAGGTGTCATTTACCCTCCAAAACCCATACCTCTGCCTTATAAGAAAAGAAAACCCAGACCAATTAGAGGGGATTATTAAATTATAATAGGACTCACAACTTTATTTTTTGTATTAGAGACAACTATAATTCATTTCACTTTGCTTTAATATATCATTAGCTACTTGAGCAAGCTTTGATGGGGAGGGGTGAGAAAGTTTTTAGTCTCAGGAGTCATTGCTCAATGTAGATCAATCTCAAAATATGATGAAACTTTTTTCTGGCAGTCTGGATAGCAAATAAAACTAACACATTTGAAGCAACAGAATAAATGGAAACCTACCTTACTGGGAAGAAGGTGGTCTCTTTTAGGTACATGTTTAAGTAAATATTTTTTTGATGGCTTATATTTTTGCTTACTATTTGAGACATTCAAAGAGATGTATAAAATTGAGACGATGTAAAGAATAATGGTACCTACCTTTCCACTACCTAGTTTAAGCAATAAAATGTAGCTGTATTTCCCCTTGATCTTGCTTTGTCTTTAAATTGCAGTTTCTTAAAATGCTGATGTTACATTTAACTAATGAGTGAAGATTTAGTCAGGTGGGAGTGTAGAAGTGAGCATACCTGGCATGTGTCCAGTGGAAGAAAAACTAGAGGTAGTGAATCCATTCGTTCTACATTTCCTTCAAGTATCAATGGAATTCCTAAGCTTTGGAAAGTGCTAGAAGGTATTTGAGACCAGATATCAAGCATAGGTGCCTGATTAGGGTTTAAAGACCTGAATATAAAGTGATTATAATTTAAAGGAGGAAGTAATGTGGACTACTCCAAGTAGTGAGATGAGTCAGGAGTTTAGCAGGTAGAGATTCTGAATGTGGGAAAACCTTGATTGATGCTGTGCTTTAAGATGTGCCAGTTATCTCAGTCCATTTGAGGCTGCTCTGACAAAAATACCACAAACCAAGTGGTTTATAAACAACAGAAATTGAGTCCTTACATTTTGGGAGGCTGAGAATGAAGGCAAGGGGCCAAGAGATTCTTGGTTCACAGACAGCTGTCTTTTCTGTATCACCTCATAGGGTGGGAAGAATCAACAAAGTAATGGCTATGCTTTCTTGACCTAATCACCTTCTCAAGGTCCTACCTTCTAATCCATCACCCTGGGAGTTAGGATTTTATCAAGGAATTGAGGGGACAGGCATACACCCAAACATTTAGACCATATCTTATGATAATAGGGTGAAGAGGGAAGGAAGAGACTAGAATCATAGAGGGTGAGGTAAAAAAAAATTCTTTAGTTACATGAGAAAGTCAGATTAGTCTCAGGCAAGACGAGAAGATGGATGGGAAGAATATTGAGACTACAAGGACCTGGGAGCCACCATAAGAGAGAAAGATGACAGCTTTAAGTCTGTGAGGCTGTGTTAAGAGGACCCGGATGGGAGTGACAGGTGTTTTTGTTTGAGTTCAGTTTTCAAGCATGTGGCCTTAAAGTGCTGGTGGAACATCTAGGCAAAAATGTCTAACCAACACCTGGAAAATCCAACTGGCCTGAAGAAAGAGCTCAGAGTGTAAAATGGGAAGCCATTTGCTTTAAGGTAAGATGACAGGGTAAGATACACTAGGGGAAAAGATTTAGTCTTTTTTGAGAGATGAGGACCAAGAAACTTTGGTATTTTACTTATGATCTGTGAATAAAAGGTGAACAACAACAACAAAAAAAAAACTGGAAAGAGGGTAGAAGCAGAAACACATGAGACCACAGTGTCCTAAAAGCCATGAATTTTCTTTTTTGTGTTTTCTCCCATGTAGAAGAATTTGCAAGGTCAGAAATCTAGAGGAAAATCAAAGGAGGAGTTATGCTATTTTTTTAAAAAACAAGAAGAAAAATTATGAGTTTAGTAGGGCTAAAGAGTGTTTTTAAAAAATGAAGAAAAATTATAGTAGTAGGAGTAGCAGTAGGAGAGTAGTAAAATTGAGTGAAGTTTTAGGTAAGTGATGAGAAAATGCATCGGTAAGAATAGATACCTTCTTTTAACCCCAAGAAATAAAGTAGATGAGAAAGTATGAGGGACCAAGCATTAGGAAGAGTGTATGTAGCTTTTTGTTTTGTTTTAA